GTGAAGATTTCCGCACGATCACACCCCCATCCCCAACACGGTCAAGTTTTCTTTTGAGACGAGTCCACCTGGAAGAGTGCAACCCGCCCTACCGACGGGTACACAAGGTGAGGAAAGCTATCAAGAACACGGGATCGGAGTACCCCCTCCGTTAGTCGGTCGTCCGGGCGCCAGTGGAGAGTTGGGATCGACTCATAATTTGAGCGATCGCCACTCCACCACACAGGCACAGATTCGGCTACAAGTACGCATCGAAAAGACAGTCTTGCACTGCCAATGATTACATGTTCTCTTTTAGGTTGGCGCACTACCAACTATGTCAAAAGCGATAACAATACCATGCTTTTCCATGATTTTTTTGATGCTACGCCTTAAGAGACAACAAAAATTTTAACGCAGGCGTCTATGGGATTTTTTTGTATGCGTCAAGACTACATGAAAAAATAGGAAGCAGAAAAACTTACTCTGACTCCTCCTGAACGGTCTCTTTGGAAAAAGGAACAGGCAGCTGTGGAAAAAATGAAGTCGCGCGGTCGTCCTCCACTATATAGTTTGCCTCGAAGCACGACTACGCAATATTTCGGCGCATTCATGTCGAAGTTTTGAGTAGCTCATATTCAACTTACATACACATGAGGCTACCTTGCCGCCACATTGTCGCATTATTACATGCTAATGGGTCTACCATAGCGATAACGGCAGCTTATCATCCATCGCACCTGGTCATATGTTTTGAGCAAGAGGTGCTAAAGGAGGTCGATTGAATTGGTTGTCAGCAACAGACCACTCCTAGTGATGCTAACTCCACCACCATATAATATAAGATTGAACGGTGACAAAAAAGCATATTGGTAGCTCTGGGAATTTGAAGTCTGGATCTACTTACAAATACCACTAGTACTTTCAAGCGGAGCATAACAAGATAACATGTCGGCGCTATGCGACTTCAATGGAACAAAAAAGCGATTTTGAAACAAAGTTTATTGAATTAAGTGACCCGAGAAATACTGTTAATCCGGCTTCAGTCTTCGTGACGTATACAGATATCTTAGACGTAACATCAGGCTAATGCCACCCGCTTGGCTCAATTGCCTTCATATTATATTAAGTGCTGTGCATAGCTATAGAAATATTTTATATAACAATACATTTGCTGGAATGTTGCTATAAATAGGCTTTCCATACATAAGTATATTGGTTATACACATTGCTTACATGTACATGTAACAAAGTGCTTGAAACATGAGCGTTCAAACTAATCGGCACGTTAACTAACACGTGATTCTACCTGTACTTGCGAGTACTGCTTTTCAATCATGAACATTCCTATATGTGTTTTACACATACACAATACATCGCGCAGCTCGGCGCTCACTGATCGCGCCAGTCATGGCGCAATTTTCTCCTTTCCCTCGCTTTGCAACTAGCCCAGACCTCCAATTTAATTCTTGAAGGTGAAATTAATAATATCGACGTACGAACCACTTCATACGTACCAGGACTGGCGCTGACTCTTCATGATCGACATGCATTAAATAAAAAGTAGATATTTTACGATCTTTATAACGTCATTTATATTATACGTTGCAGACATTAAACAAACTGAGACATACAGCACATCGATAGGATTAATAAATTGAATCGCGAATTTAAGTCGACTTACGTACCTACATACATTATTTTGTCTTGTCTGCAGTCTCCTGATCGCGAGCTGCGTCTTCTCCTCTGTCACGTGCACAAAAAGTAACATTAAGTTAGTGACCTTTTCCCATCACATGCATATAATATAACATTTACACTTAAACCTTATTGCTACAGGGATTGCTTCCCGCGAGGATGAGAGAGCCAACAACGGGCAACGCAGAGGTCTCCGTCGGCCGCGCCTTCGTCGGCGCTTATGGGTCGCCAAACGAACAGTGAAACGTCTGTTTGGCAAATAAAGTGTGCCCAATGAGATTAAACTAACGGCCCCTTAAAATGAAAAGTCTCGTATCCAATTACGCATTTTCGTACAATCTGACAGGTAAACATTGTGTGGTATCCATCATACATGTTCTACGTGGTCTTGATTCAGAACTGGTGCTGGTTTCATAACTTTTGCACAGCACTACTGCTGGTTTCTAAACTTGCTCTATTAATACAGCAGAATAATTGCTTGCGTACCGAGTACGAGCTCTAGAGGTCTCTTGTTTTTCCAATCGGTACCAAGGGCACATGAACTCTTTCGGTTTGGGTCGCAGCACAGACGTGTCGCTCTCGGGGGCAGAGAGGCCAAACGACTGGCCACGTCGTGCAGGACACGCACTCGTTGTGGCACAGCGTCTGGTCCGGAGGTGGTCCAAGTCCCGCATAAACGACGACAGCAGTGGCGATGTACTTTTGGTGAGCGCGTCGCGCTGTCGTCACGCACTCGACCAAGTTGTGCGGCGAAGCAGCTGCCACCGTTCGCTTGTATTTGCTTTTCGGTAGGGTCGTGTGCGCGCGCAAATACGACCAAAGAGGTGCGAGGGACGGCGTGTGCCGTCACTGCGATCACCTTCTGCGGTCGCTGCACCTTACGAGCTCCAGTGTCGTGCTGCACACGGACTCTATCGAACGACATTGCTGGAGGATGGTGAGAACTGGAAGCCGAAGGACACAAAGAGCCAGTTGCGAGCTGGTAGAAGCTTTTGCGGGATCAACACTCGACGACTGCGGAATCAGTCCGTCCACCTCTTGGCACTTGGTGTGGTACTGCTGGACCAGCTGCTGAACATGCTACGAGACGTGCTATTCAGAAATTAAGCGGCGTGAGTGCGACACATAGTCACAATTGACGATGTCAACATGCTCATGTGCTTTTATCGCGGCGCGTTTGGCAAAGGGACGCTTGTTTGACGAAAGGTGCAGCAACCGTAAAAGGGTACGCGGGTACTAAGTGCTCGCTCAATGGTGGCGATGGGCGTGACTCCGTAGCAGACTGCACTTGTTACTGGCGGCGAAGTGGCAAGTTGTACGCTATGATCGTCCTCGGGAAAGCCGCAGCGTTCGCAAAACAACTTAGTGAAGCACAGAAAGACGGAACGGCGTATCTTGCAGGGCATAAATCACCCGTTGATGAAGGGGCTGCGGTATGCTTACATGACTGAGCGAAGCCATATCATGTGACGGTCTTTCACAACTTTGGCGTTCTGCACTTTATCTTCAGCGTGCAGTGCGTTTCGATAAAGTCCGCGCTCGCATCTACCTAGCGCAGCTCGCACCAGCAGTTTTCATTCGCACACGTACAATAACGTGTATCGCGATCACAAAGCCCGAGAACAGTTTGCTGGACGCCACTTCGATTCCCATCTGGGTTTGTTCGAGGATGCTCGTTCGCTCCTGCGCGGTTTGATTTGACGTCACGCAGCAAAGCAACTCGGCTCTGGACCATACAATATCCAAGCCGAATGGAACACCCATTTGTCGCTGACGCTGATTGGAAATGCTGTATCAACGTGACGTACCTGTACCAATTCACGCCTGTTGTCAAATGTGACGGTGTAGTAAGCAATGTGCCCGAGTTTTCAAGCGGCAGGACGTTGTGGACTCAGCGGTCTCGATGTACTTATTGGCAAGAGCTGCGCGTATCAAGAGCTCTCGTCTACGGGTCGGTGTGATCTGTAAAAGAAGTTAGAGAAAGGTGTAGTGAATGGAAGGCCTTTGTGTGGGAGTTTCTGGCACATGATGTGGAGGGCAGAGCGAGTCAAATGGTCAAGCGTGACATCTAGCGAGTTTGTTGTTTGCTCTGCTTTGGCATCAAACTGACCGTGAATTGCTTGCAGCTGGTAACATTAGTCGCAGCATCACATCGACTATCATTGTCGAGCAAATACCAGCTTGTGGTAAGCAAATTGCAAGCAATGTCAGTAGAGCTGAGAGCACGAGAACAGCATCGTTTGCAACTCGCGTGAGGCGGTTGTGATGTCGCAGAGATACTTGATGTCATGTGCGATGATGTACTTGAGTGGCTACATCTGTGTGTCAAAGCCCTTTCGTCTGAGCCATGCAGCACATATAAGGCGTGTGCCGTACGCGTAGGGTTCGTGAAGTCGACACTGTTGCGTGAATGTGACGACATGGTGCTGGAATTCGGATGGTCATCAAAGCATTGCCCGCGCTTTACTTGTACCTGCTCGACGCTTTTCATCCGGTGACATCGATGACACAATGTTGTGCTTCGACAGCAACGTCGATTCAGCAGAGTGCTTGTCATAACGGGCCTGAGCGTTGAATCGCTTTCGGCCCGCCACTAAACAATTCTGCTGGAATCGAAGCGTCTGCTCTCATCATGGGCAAACTTGTCGGCCTTGATGACAAACATGGCCATAAGTACATTCAGACATGCTCGGTACGTCTCTGCGTGCCTCCCGAGAACGCAAATGCACCGTTTAGTATGCAGAGCAATCTAGCGTTTGCATTTGCGCTCAGGACAAGTACCGCCAGCAAGCTTGGTGACGCCAGCACCACCCTTACGGCACAAAGTCAAAAGCATAGCAAGTGCGCAGCAAGCATTGTGCGATGACACAGACACAGAAAAGAAGCCAAAATAGATGGCAACGTTGCGGCAAGTCGACGAGCAAGCGGATGTGTTGCAGCTCGCCCAGAGACGTGAACGTGTTCTGCACTGACCACTGCAGTACATAAAGCTAGTGGCATGCCAACTACAGTGCTTGAATGCGCTGCCAACAAATGTGGACACGGAACTTCGAATGAAAGGCGATTGACTTCAACCTAGATATTCTCGGAAGTGTCAGCGTTGCTCAAGTGTACTGCAGTAATCGCGACAAGTCAGGCTGGAAATAGATGCGCATAACGAACGAACATGAGACCTTGCTGAGTGAACAGAACGATCGATTACAGATAAGCGCACGCGTTGGTGCCGCTACATCAATTGCTACGTTCTCTGTTTCTGCACTGCGCTAGCCGAGCCTGTACTCTCACTTGCAGCTGCTCGGCCTTCCTCGAGTCTCATTTCCTCGTTAGGGTTGTCGAGCTGTCGTCGGGTGCGCAAGGCCAAGCTTTTCCGCCAATTCATTCTGCGCTTTGAATCTTTCCTGGTATACCGAGATGATCCTGTTCACGTGATAAACCTCGTCGACAGCCACGGGCTCAAAGACCCTCGCGTACAGATCTTCTGGCGCCTCGTTGGCCTTCAACCATGGTCGCATCAAAGGTTTAAACTCAGCGAAGAATTCCTTGAACGGTACCTCCATTTCAGCAATCCAAATCGCCAAATCTCGCTCATTGACGTACTTTCTCAGACATGTAACGACATCTGTCTCGGATTTGGGGTACGCACTGTTGAAGTGCCGGATGTATAGATAAACAATGAATGCGTCTGTTTCCGTGATGCTTTCAGTCCCCGAGCCTTCATGCACCAATGTCGCGACGACATCATCAGGAGATTTTTTATCAGTCAACAACCAGCGCTTGAACAACTCTGCTTCCAATTTCATGGCCGTGTCTCCGTGGACCCTACCAAGCAACGACAATTCCAGAGTGCGCGCGACCTCACCCTCGCTACCAAGGCCTATCACGAAGGCATCCAGGAGGCTTAAGCTGGCATGTTGCTTCTCGTTGTGTGCCTTGACTATCAGCTTCAATAACTCCACCTTCGGCGTCGCGAAAATGTTGGCCCCCTCTTTTTCAAGCTCCAGCCCCAAAATCACTTCCTCTATGGGAACGCCGCGGTTGATCAAATGCTTCATATTCTCGAACAATTTTGCGGCGGAGGTTGCTAGTCGTTCGTTTTCGTGCAATTCAGCCTTACGAAACAATTTCTGTAACGCCTTCTGTCGTACCTCTTTGTTAGAAGAGACCAGGGACAAATTAAGCTCCTCCACGATCCCTGGCTCGTCTTCTTTAAAATGATTGATAGCTATTGCGTCTGACACCTTCAGCGCATTCTGCACCTCAGGATTATATTCGGAGCGGAGACTTTGAGCAGTCGGAATTTTATCAGAAGCTTGGCGCAGGACATCGATGGTTTTCCCGCCATTCTGCGGCAGCCGTTTAAGCGTCGAAAGGACCTTTTCTCCGGTCTTCGACACCTGCCGCACGGCGGGCAGAGCCTTGGCCGTTGCTGTCGCCAGGACGGGCGATATGACTCTGTCTTCGTCATCCGCGTTGTCGGACGTCCGCAGTAGCCGATCGGTAGGACCAGCGCCGTAAATGTCATCTGTAGTATGAACACGAGACGAAGGGTTGACATCCATCGACATGGGTCGAGTCGTTTCCAGTGAGCCAGTGACGCATGCCGCAACGGCAACAGATGTCGAAAGTAGCGAAGAGAAAACGCGCATTCCGCAGTGGTGTCGCGATCGCTCGTGGTGTGCAGTGAGTGAGTTCTGGAATGACTGCGAATTGGACTCCAGCAGAGCCGTTCTGTTACGGGGCAGCCCGTTACATGAAATTGTCACTTTAAGGAAAGTGACAATAAAGAATATAAAGATGGATATTCTTTAGACAATATCACCAAAGTGGTAATATTGAAGGGTCGACCAAAGGGTCTGTTCATTGGTTGATATCGTGATGATATCAACCCACCAATCGCCGCAAGACGCGCGCAATGGGTGGTGACGAGACGTCACCATACATCCAGTTATATTAGTATAGTTAAACTAAGTCAAACGAAGAGACAGTAGTTAAAAGACTTAATTATATTAATATAACAGTTCTGCTTTTACCCTACCCACGCTTCCTCGCTTGCCACGTGTACGTCCGTCGGGGCACCCAAAACCCTTGCGTTAAGTTACGCAAGGGTGTGCCCCGTTACACCTGGTAGCACTTTGTAGTCCTTCCGAGGACCACATCATCCAACATGTTCATGTTGGATGAAGAAGACACCTTTCACGCCACGCGTGAAGGGTTTACCCATTTGAGTGACATCGAATGGGGTGCGGTAGAACGAATGAGTTCTACCGTAGGCGAACTCGTCGTTAGCACCATGTTGGAGTCTCTAGACAGAGACCAACAACATGCCGCTATCGCCAAGTTCATTCAACATGAACTTGTCGCCGAAAGGGAGAAAGTAGCCTTGCTTCACCAGCAAGGCTCTCAACAGGCCGAGCAGTTGAGAAAACTCGGTGCTCAACGGACAGAGCTGTTGAGACAGCAGCATTTCCATGCTGCTGTGGGCGAGACGGCGCATGCGCGTCGTCCCGAAGTCATGAAAGTTGACATCTCCAAGTACAGTGGAGTCCCGGAAGACTCCCTGTTACTATGGTTTGTCGAACTCGACAGAGCCCTAAGGGCTCGTCGCGTCGAAGATGAGCAAATGAAACTCACATTTGCTCAGACCCACTTGGCAGGGCGTGCCAAAACTTGGTCCCTGGGACTCGAGAGTAGCGACCCAAATGTGTTTAGGTCGCTAGATGACTTCAAGTCCCGGCTCAGACAAACGTTTGAGCCGCCACGGGCTGAGTTCAGGGCTCGTTCAGAGCTCCTGAAACTCAAGCAGGGTAAGCGTGATGTGCACGCTAACGCACAACATATACGACTCCTTGCGAGTAGTATAACTGCTAACCCAGTACATGAACACACGTTGATTACGGTGTTCATGCAAGGGCTCGCAGAAGGGCCCGTCAGGAGCCACCTGTTCCGCCTTGAGCTGAATACGCTTGAAGAAGCGATATCAGCCGCGGAACAGGAAGACTTTAGCATGAGACAAGTTCATGCTAGCTCAAACTCTTACCGTCCACCGAGACGACAAGAGATCGGAGGTCCAGAACCAATGGACCTCTGTTATGTTGAGAGAGAGAGACCTCGCTCTTCAAACAACAAGCGATTGCAGAGGTGCAATCGCTGTCAGAAGTTAGGGCACTACGCATACGAGTGTAGTGCTCCACGCCCAGTACCAAACAGTACTGAGCGAAATGGACGACCATTTGCCAGAAGGGCAATGGGCGTGGGTCCAGCGCTGTTGCGAAGCCGCAACAGCGAGACGGACCATCAAAAAATGGTCGGGGTCAGTAGGGGCGGAGCGCCCTACTGATCCAGCAACCTCAAGAGAATTTGCAAATCTCTTGACGAAAGTTGCTCCAGATACACAATCATTGTGTGTCTCTGCACCTGGTGATGACGTTTCGCTCATCACCTTGAAGTTGGAAGCGACAAATGATTTGTCGCTTCATGCCCTAGTAGACTGTGGGGCGTCGAACAACTTTGTTCGTCGCCAGTCACTAGAGGGTCGTAGGCTCAAGTTCGTTGAGTGCGACATTCCCCTCACGAGGATGACGGTGCGCCTTGCAACAGGCGCATCGATTACCGTTGCAAAACGTGTAGCGGGAGTCCACTTCACGTTAGAGGGCGAACAGTACGATGATGACTTCATCGTACTGGATCTGGATGACAAATTTGATGTCATCCTGGGATTATCTTGGCTCAGAAAATACGAGCCAAGGGTGAGCTGGCAGCATCGATCCGTGAAGATGCCTGCTACTTGTTCATCAGATGGCCATCTGATGAACATCTTGGAGCGTCCACAAGCGTGTGGATGTACTACGAGTGAGTGCGATGGCCTCACTTACGGTATGGTCGTTAGCACGACTGCACAAGATCACAGTGTAGTTGATCGCTACACTGTGGAGCAAGCTCCCGGCGGCTGTACAGAGGTGCAGGCGGCGTCGAAGGTCCACCACTCGAATAAGTCGAGTGGACCGGGACATGGATGCATGCCTAGCGGGCAGCATCTTAGAGAAAGAAACCGGTTGCCCACAAGCGGCAACACGGATATCCTAGGTCGACTGGAGAGTCGACTGTAGAGGATCGGTGCCTGACTGTGGTTGCACAGCCACAGTCGGAAGACGTCGAGGGAATAAGTCCCCACGTACTTGAGGAAGGAATTCCTCAAGAGTCGCTTGCTGAGGGATTAGGCCTTCAGCAACCTGTGGAAGCAAGTTTCCAGGAAAAAACCGAGACGTTGAACGTCTTGGTTAATGACGGATCAAGCGTAGGCGCTTATACGCTTCATCTGATTGTGCCTCCGAAGTTGACTTCGGAGATAACTCAGTTGCCAACGCTAGAACCGAAACGGTTCTTAAGTGATCTGAGCAGTTAAAAATTGATGCAGATCTGTTTACTCATCACGGAAGATGAGTATGTGGCCGATATTCGGTCGGCAACAGTATTCGCTGAGAACGAACGGGTTCTCAGCAGCTCATCGATGGAAGAAAGTGTCCTCGATGAGAAGACTCGGATTGAGCGATACACGTCTCAATCCTGGAAATCGCTTCAGGCAAATCCTTTGTATAAGGATTTGATCGAATTCAGGGATGTATTCCCTGAATCCGTACCTTGCGAGTTACCTAAGAACAAAGGCACTCGACACGAGATCGAGCTCAAACCGGGCTCGAAGTACTGTGTCATGAAGCAGCGGCCACTGCCTCGTGAACAGGTACTAGCGATCGACAAGTTCTTTGCCGATCGCTTAGCAGCGAGCCATGTGAGGGAATCAACACCCCCTCACAGCTCTCCGACCTTCTGTGTGCGAAAGGCCACAGGAGGGTGGCGGATAGTGCACGCATTCAACAAATTGAATGCTGCAACGGTACCGGCTCAGACGCCGATAACGAGGAAGGACGTAATCGTAGATGGTATGTCAAAGAGTACCATCTTTTCGTCCATGGATCTGATGGATGGATTCTATCAGATCCTTATGCGTGAACGGGACGTCCCGTTCACGGCAGTGAGTACCCCCAGCGGGATGCTGTGGGAGTGGCTAGTGATGCCACAGGGGCTGAGCAATGCCCCTGCAACATTCAACAGATGTGTCACAAATCTATTGAGACCGGTGCGAGACTTCGCACCGAGTTGCTTCGACGATGTGTTCGTCCATAGCTGGGCTAAAGACGGAAAGACGGACGTCGAAGTTCATAGAACTCACGTTCGTCAGGTTCTTCAACTTATGCGCAAGTATAAGTTGTACGCCAACCTCAAGAAGTGTATATTCGCGGCTAGCGAAATACCACTTCTTGGGTGCGTTGTGGGTAAACACGGCGTGCGCCCTGATCCCGAAAAGATCAAGGCGATCACCGACTGGCTAGTGCCAGTCGATGTTAAGGGACTAAGGAAGTTCCTTGTGCTAGCGGCGTACTTGCACAAGTACTCGCGCAACTACGCCGAGATGACTGTTCATCTTTCTTGCTTGCTCAAGAAAAATGTCAAGTGGTCATGGAACGCTGAGTGCCAGCGTTCATTTGAAGGTATCAAGCAAAGCTTGGTGCAATCGCCGATACTAGCGTTTGCAGATCAGGACAGACCATTTCATGTGGTCTGTGACGCAAGCGATTTCGCAATCGGCTGTGCGTTAATGCAGTTAGATGCAGATGGCGCGGAGCGCGTCATCTGTTATCAGTCGCGTCAGCTGCAAGCAGCTGAGCGTAATTACCCAGTGCATGACAAGGAACTCCTTGCCATGAAATACGCACTGGCTAAGTTTCGCGTCTATCTCTTGGGAGATAGACCGATCATCGTTTATACGGACCATGCGTCATTACGCACGGCCGTAAACAGCCCACACCTCTCGCAAAGAATGGCGAGGTGGCTGTCATTCTTCGCGGAGTACAACTTCTCCGTGAAGTATAAGCCAGGACGACTCAATGTCGTCGCTGATGCGCTTTCTCGCCGACCCGATTTCGAGTCAGACGCGCAATCCAACAGTGAGGATGACCCACTGATTCAACACTTACAGTCAGTGTTCCATCGTCAAGTTTACTTGACGACGTGCGAAATCCTACGCAGAACATAAGAACCTCTTGCTATTGATGGATCATCTGGTGAATCCAACCCGTAAATCTTGGAAAGATTTATTGGCTTTGTACCGATCCTTGTCGGATCGGTATACAACACGCAACGAACTGCTATATTATACAGCCGTTGCCGGCGACACGCCTCGTGTAGTCGTCCCCGCTCATAACAATTTGCGCTTGCTCATCTTGTATGAGTGTCACGATGCCCCAACAGGTGGTCATCGTAGTCGAGAAAAGACTTACCTTACGGTAAGTCGTGACTTATACTGGACCCGCCAGTATCATTTTGTCCGCAAGTAAGTTCGTGCTTGCGAGGTTTATCAACGGGTAAATCCCAGTCCTTCATCCCGTGCATCCTTAAAGCCTCTACCTGTACCGAAAGAGTGCTAGTAGTCCGTTTCAATGGACTTCGTCTTCGGTTTCCCCGAAGATGCTCACGAGAATGATAGTATTCTTGTGTTCGTTGACCGGTT